TATTCTTGAAGTCACATACTAAATATTTCCATACAATCTGAGTCCTCTGTTACTATTTCCAGATTCAGGAATGAAATAATGTGTCTTTCATATATCAGAAATAATAATTATAGGTGCTTGATCATTATATTTAAAGGAACATGGCCCTAAAATATCATCAGTTCCCTAGATAGAAGGGACTTTCAATTTTTTCAAATATTAAATTTATTTTAATGACTATCAACTTCAATATATATGCAATAACACACTGTCAAGAATGAGACATGAGGATCACAGTACCTCACTCTCAGGAATGAGACTGTTAGTAACAGGATTTGAGGTTAGGGATAAATACATTAAGTTTAAATTATTTATTGGCATGCTCCAAATTTAGTAAAGCAATTGAGTAATTTAAGTAATTTTGCATGGTACACTTTAAACTATAGGCAAAGGAATTCATCCTTAATCTTTCTAAAAACAACAATAAAATTGCAGTTTGTTCCTTATCCTTCATCGGCAGCATTTGAAGTAAGAGTCTCTACTGAAAAAGTCAGTGTAAAATTAACAGGCCTATCCTCTGAACCTTAGAAAACCAAATTATTTTTGCCATGTACAAAGATAAGCAACAACAACAAAAGATATGAAACAAAATAACGTGTATTAATTGTGGATATAAACACACACCGTATTCATAGTTAAAGATTTTCCTTGAGAGCATGGGAAAATATATGTAAAGTTCTTATTGCTTGGCAGATAATAAGTGCTTAAAAAAGTAATTATTATTTTTAATGTAAATTTTTTTTTATTATTGTTACCTCCCCAAAGTCATCTCCTACCACTCTCTCCCTTGAGGACTCTACTACAGATGCACTGGCCTCCTTGCATTTCTTTGAGCATATCGCACACACTCCCATCTTAGGGCCTTAGGGATCGCTGTTCTCTCTGTCTGGAAATCTTTTCCTGCAAATACCCACATGGCTCACGTCCAACTTTATGAGAAGGAACATTACAAATAAGTTTTACTGTTTTAGATGCAGGATTTCCCTTATGCATACTTTCCAAGCAGATTCCATGTCACAGATGGGTTTGTATTGAAGATGGAGATCCATAGTACATTTGGCCCTATGCAAATAGTTTCATTAAGAAAGTAAATAAATCATCATGTGTCTGTATTCACAAAGGGCATAGGTCTGTGTACACGAGGTGTATGGTCTGCTGGCTGAATAGACAGATCTCCAAAGGACAAAATGCCACCATGGTTACAGGATGGCTGGAAAGTCACCTCTGGCCATGGGCCAGGCATGTGATACTACAATCATGATAATCAACAAAAGGTCAGGGCGTATTTTTTAATTCACCAGTTAAGTTAAAGGATGTTTTGGATGTTATTCAATGGACGACACAATGTGGGAATGTGTAGTGTTGATTTGTATAGAAAAAGATGGGTGGTGGATTAAGAGCCCTGGTGGCGTAGTGTTTAAGAGCTTGGCTGCTAACCAAAAGGTGAGCAGTTCGAATTCACCAGCTGCTCCTTGGAAACCCTATGGGGCAGTTCTACTCTGTCCTATAAAGTCGCTATGAGTCGGAAGAGACTCAACGGCAACAGATTTGGGTCTGTGGCACAGCAGCAGTAACCTTTCATTTGCTTCAAATTCTAGAGTCAGACATTCCCATGGCTTCCTCTTTGACTTCATCTATATTTCTGCTCAAATTCTACTTCATCAGAAATGCCTTTCCTATCTAAAAGAGCACCCTCTCCTTCACTATCGCCCCTTTTCTTCATACTGTTTAGCATCACTTAAATATTATATTTTGTGTTTATTTTTATTGCCTCTCTTGCCCCCCTTTGAATGTATACTCCATGAAAACAGGTTCTCTGTTTTGATCCTGCTTTATCCACAGCACCTAGGAAAGTACCTGACACACAATGAGAGCTCGGTATTTGTGGAATGATTCTAAGTCTAACTCATCCAGCCACCCTTTCTTTGGGTTATCACAGTGTACAGTGACAGCTATTCTTTCTTCCAGACAAATATCACTTGAAAAGTTGAAGGGTTCAAGTGGAAGGGAATTTGGAGTGTTGTCTCACAGTGCAACACTGGCGAAAAATATAAAAAAAATCACGTTATCAGTACAGTTGGTAGGTTATACAAAAAACTAAAGTCCAAATAGGTAAGGATGAGGGCATAATCCCTATTACTGCCAATGCCTCAAAACTAAACAGTTCTGTGAACCTTTGACTTTGTGCTGGGACATTCTCTGGACCCATACCCAGGCTATCTGCATTTTTTTCAATATCCACAAACACAATGAGGAGAAAAGTGCATTTCTTATAGCAAATTCAATTTAGCATAATGTTAACAGTTTGACATCCACCTATGTACTTATATAATCATTTATTTATAAGTAAATGAAAATTTATATATATTAGTATATATACTAATATAAATATATCAGTTATTCGATAGCTAAATATTCTGTCATCTAAGAAGCATGATCATAAGACACTGATAAAATATTTGTTGGAATACTATGGTTGAAACAAAGGGGGAAAAATGGACACTGAGCAGGGTAGTCATGGAGAAACAAAGATGCAGAGTTAGTAGACAACTAGGACAAAAAGAAAATGAGAATTGAGTCCAGATCTCTGATGACAGGCATACCAGTAGGTACATACGCATAGTATGGAATCATAATATAGAACAGTTTCTAAATGTATAACATACTTATAATTCACTTACATAGGAATGCATTTGGGTTTTTAAATCCCCAAACCAACATATTAATATGAATTTATACCTGGCTTTAATGTCCTCTTTAGGACTAGATGTAATTGCTGCATGCTAGTAATTTAGTCTATTCTCTACTCATTGTCTGTAGTATCTGTACAAAACAGGATGGCTTAAAGAGCTACTTTACCCTAGGTGTCAGAGCTCAACTAGTACTAGTGTGATAATTCTCCAAACCAATTTTTTTTAAACCACATGAACTATACTGAAGGGATGTCAAGCAGCTGCCCACTTGTCAGGATAATTTTCTCCTGCCTGCCAATCTTGTTGAAGAAGAGAGGCATCAGAGAGGCAGGATATCAGAAAGAAGCTCCTCGGACTCTCCTGGTCCAAGACATAGAAACTTTAGGACATTCAGAATGTAGTAATAAGAAAATAATAAACCATCATATTTTAGTTAATAAGATCCTCAATTTACCCCTGCTCTTCTGCCTAACATATCCTTAGCACAGCTATAAAACTACTTCCTATATTAACTTAAGAAAATATTCACTTCCCACTAAAACGATAGGACATTTTTAACAGAACACTTTGTTGGAACATGAAAACTGTCAGGAGTAAAATCTAAAGAGAAATATATATATTTTAAAAATACCATTTGGTGACACTTTACATTTTATCCAGCATTTTCTTCCAGCAACTAATTTATTGTAAACATTCCCATTCTAGAAAATCAATTCAGGGATCATCAAATAATTTTGTCAGGAGGTAACAGTAGGTAATTTCAATTTCTCTACAACCTAGTTAAATGTGTTTATAAACCTCCAAATTCAGCAGTTTTTAAAAATTGTTGTTCAGGATGAGGACAGATAATTTGAAAACTTACTGAATCTAAAAATATGGGCTCTATATTACTTTGAAATCCTATTAACTGTACCAAATACAACTTGCAATCTCAACAGCTATGTAGCATTTATTTAGAAAAATTTGCACATTTATTTATCTCTTAAGAGGTCTATTTCACAGACAATCTAATATACTTAAAATCATTTGGCCAAAGTCTTCTGCATGTTTACATTTCAACTAGAAGACTGAATTCCTATAAAGGCATCATTTTGCACAGTAGATTTGTCCTGTTCCATAATGCGGTTATGCTACTTTAGTTTCTACTGAGATTCTGTTTTGAATTTATGGAAACAAGGCACTGTCAGGAAGACTGATATACTGAGGAAAATTATAATAAGAAACAAATTTGCAGTCCTTCTCTTCTATACTTATGTAGAGACATACAGTATACCAAATAACCAGTTTTTCAAATAAATTAGCATAGCTTCATATTGAGCTGTTATATAATTAAAATATATCAAAATATTTCTTTTTCTATAGCACTTCCATGCTTTAATTACATTGCCAAGATCATCAATTGCGTCTAAAATATGTTGGGAAAATAAAAATTTCTGATAATGAAAAAGAAAAAAATGTAAAGATCCACTAGGTTAAGTTATATTTGATGATATTGTAGGACAGAACATAATTTTCTTCCACACAAACAATACTGGCAGATATGAAAGTAAATATAAAATCAAATGTTTTATGAACCGTATGCAAACTACACGATATTATTACTTGTTCCATTTTAATAGCTGACAGATTCCATTTCCTACATAAAGCTCTCATTGCTGGATGCAGCATTTTATTACCTGCTTTAGGCAGGCTATTTTCACAACTGCAAACTAGTTATAAAAGTAACACAACCTGAAATAAATCTCAAAATGCTAAAGGAAATTGTTCCATATTCTCACATAAAGATAATGTATTTATCAAGCAGCAATATAGCAACTATGTACTGAGGGACAGACAAGGATGTGCTGAGCTGTCAAAGCTTTTATTTTGTCAAAGTTCGTCTAACTCACAAAGTCAGAAAGAGTTCGATGTGATTCATCACACTTGCACAAAGAATCACAACAGCTATCTGAACATCCAAGCCACAGAGAATAGTTACATAAAATTAGTAATTATAATAAACATCTTTTAGAACTGAAATAAAATTTCTAATTTTACATAGAAGTAAACTCACAACCTTTAAAATGCATTCCCCATTAACTATCAAAACACATATATTATTCCTAAGTTTCATTTATAGACTTAGAGGAAAGAAGTTCTTGGAGACTCTCATTGACTATACAAATTCAGAGGTTATTACAGTGTTTTCTATTTAAACATGAAATGAGAGTATTAGAAGATAAGTTAACCTAGAATATGGTTTTCAGTTATGGGACTGAAAACTCCTACCTCGCTGTAGAATCCTCTATATTGTCATCAGTCATCATCTCCAAATCCTGTGAGTGTTTCTCACAAGCTCCTTTGAATAAATTCTCCTCTGGAACTGCTTTAGGAGTATCTTCATTTGCTCGGAGATGTTCTATCAGGTTTTGTTGCTGCCAATTCTGAAGAGCTCTTTGATGGGCAGGTGCTGGTCCTGGCACTGGTGACAGTATGTTGTGGTGGACAGGACTGTTGCTTTTCTTCAGTCCGTTTCTGTCCCGAGAGTGGCTCTTCAACCTGCCCTGAACCGGGGTCCCTCTATGCTCATATCCTTCCTGCTGAAGGCAGCTTCCAGTGTTGGGTGAACCTTGAGAAGGATGACTAAACCACCTCCAGCGTAGCCTTAGGATCTGTTTCACATCAAACTCTTTCTTGCCAGACACTGACATTGTTGCAGGGGGAAAGACAAAAGCCTTCTCTCACAGAAAGGAAATGGAGCCTTTGTTATCTGTTTCTCTGCCTCTTCTGTAGAACTAACAAAAGCACAAGTGAGAGCAGCCTTTCTTGCTTTCTCTTCCCCCTCCCCTGCCTGTGGTACACTGTGAATACTTCCAGCCTTTTAACTGAAGCAGAAAGCTGCAGCTAACTGTGTAGGTGGGAACCCATACAGACAGGATGATGAGGTCAGACCTTAAACAAGTAAATCAGCTTAGCACAGGAAAGCAGCTACCACAACACACTCCAGCTGCTGGATTTGCACGCTGCAGTCCTCCTGCACGGACCTGCAAATATCTAACCCAGCCAGCTTCTTCAGTACCCAGAGTAGAGTAGCTGCGGCTTAAACCTAGGCAAGTAAGCAAAAACAAAGTCTTTAAACTCACTTCCTTCTAGATTGCCTACACTGACCCCTCCGTCTGCCTGCCCTGTCAGATTCATTTTCTGGGTAGCTCACTTGTAAAAATGTGCCACTTAGTCCTAGGAGATTTTGCGACAGGGGAATTCATTACGATCTATTTTTGGGTTTTTCTTATGGAAGTTTTGAAAGTGGTTCATTAAGGGAAAGATTCTTGTTATCAGTCCTCTCATGCAGGTTTTTAGTTATTTTTACAAAACTCTTCTGAAAGTAGGAATGTCTATAGATAAACATTTGCTTTAAAACCTGAACAGTTTCAGAAACACAACAAAGTGTTGGTTACCCATGATTACAATTACACACACACACACACATATACACACACACACCCTACAAGGGAATGGAGAGTTGGTAATTTAAGTCTACATCTGAAGCAAGAGAGTGGCACTTTTCTAAGCTGGTTAGGTTGGAGGAGATGTCTTCTCCCAGTGACCAAAACTTGAAAATGAATAGGCCATTCTGGCACCATGCCTGTATAAACACCACCTTATCATGTCCTTTACTTTCACAGGCAATGTTAAAGGTTTATTTTCTTTTTTCAAAGGTCCTTAGGAGAGGATGCAACATGGCATATTTTGAATCAACTCCAAATCATCACACAACTCAGTAATAACTGCACAAAGTACTCTGGGATCTGAATCAAAATCACTATTCTGTACAGAGGAAAATATTTCTGAAACAGATAGTCATGTATCAGGAATGTATTTACCAACGTCATTTTGAAATTAAGTTTGAATTTTATCCAGCTCTCATGTCATGCATACAGGTGATAAGGAGGAAAGTTGAACCAGTGTGTCCTTAGAATAATAACACTGTAAGGTTTTGGTTTTAGTTCTGGCTCTATCATTAATGAGTTGTGTGACCTTGGACAAGTTACTTTGCCTCTTTGGATCTCAGTTTCCTCATATATAATTTGGAGAGGTTGAACAGATTTCAAAGTTTCCAACACACCAACATGCAACTGATTTTAAGAAAAAAAAACTTGAAAATAGAGGATGAAATTAATCTCTTTTTCTAAGTTTTGCTAAATGTTCTACATGCAGTTTTCTATAAATTCAATAATCTTTCCCATTTTTCTCTTCTGTTTGTAGGTTTTCTCCCCTTGTACTATGAAGTTAATAAATATGCACTGATTGATATATACAAGCATACCTTGGAGATATTGCAGATCTGGTTCCAGACCACTGCAATAAAGCGAGTATCGCAGTAAAGTGAAACACATGAATTTTTTGGTTTTCCAGTGCATACAAAAGTTATGCTTACACTATAGTCTATCAAGTGTGCAATAGCATTATGTCTAAAAAACAATGTACATATCCTAATTAAAATAATTTACTACTCAAAAATGGTAACTATCATCTGAGCCTTCAGCGAGTCATAATCTTTTTGCTGGTGGAGGATCTTGCCTCTATGTTGATGGCTGCTGACTGATCAGGGTGGTGATTGATGAAGGTTGGGGTGGCTGTAGCGACTGCTTAAAATAAGACAGCAATGAAGTTTGCCATGTTGATTGACTCTTCCTTTTACAAAAGATTTTTCTGTAGCATGCGATGCTGTTTGATAGCATTTTACCCATAGTAGAACTTCTATTGAAATTGGAGTGAATCCTCTCAAATTCTGCCGCTTCTTTATCAAGTAACTTTATGTAACATTCTAAATCCTTTGATGTCATTTCAACAATGTTCACAGCATCTTCACCAGGTGTAGATTCTATCTCAAGAAACCACTTTCTTTGCTCATCCATGAGAAGCAACTCCTCATCCGTTTAAGTTTTATCATGAAATTGCAGCAATTCAGTCACATCTTTAGGCTCCAATTCTAATTCTAGTTCTCTTGCTATTTCCACCACATCTGCAGTTATTTCCTCCACTAAAGCCTTGAACCCCTCCAAGTCATCCATGAGGGTTGGAATCAACTTCTTCCAAACTCCTGTTAACATTGATATTTTGACCTCCTCACGAATGTTCTTAATGTCATCTAGAATGTGAATCCTTTCCAGAATGTTTTCAATTTACTTTAACCACATTCAACAGAGGAATGACTATCTATGACAACTATAGACTTACAAAATATATTTCTTAAATAATAAGATTTGAAAGTCAAATTCTTCCTTGATCCATGGGATGCAGAATGGATGTTGTGTTAGCAGGCACAAAAACAACATTAATTTCTTTGTATATCTCCATCAGAGTTCTTGAGTGACCAGGTGCATTGTCAATGAGCAGTAATATTTTGAAAGGAACCTTTTTTTTTGAGTGGTAGATCTCAATAGTGGGATTAAAATATTCAGTAAACCATGTTGTAAACAGATGCACTGTCATTCAAGTTTTATTGTTCCATTTACAGAGCACAAGCAAAATAGATTTAGCATAATTCTTAAGGACACTAGGATTTTGGGAACAGTAAATGAGCACTGGCTTCAACTTAAAGTCACCAGCTGCATTAGTGCCTAACAAGGGAGTCAGCCTGTCCTTTGAAGCTTTGAAGCCAGGCATTGGCTTCTCTCTAGCTACAAAAGTCCTAAATGGCGTCTTCTTCTAATATAAGGCTGTGTTGTCTACATTGAAAATCTGTTGTTTAGTGTAGTCACCTTCATCAACTATCTTAGCTAGATCTTCTGGATAACTTGCTGCAGCTTCTACATTAGGACTTGCTACTTCACCTTCCACTTTTATGTTATGGAGACTTCTTCTTTCCTTAAACCTCATGAACCAATCTCTGCTAGTTTCAAACTTTTCTTCTGCAGTTTCCTCACCTCTCTCATCCTTCACAGAATTGAAGAGAGTTAGGGCCTTGCTCTGGATTAGGCTTTAGCTTAAGGAAATGTTGTGGTTGGTTTGATCTTCTATCCAGACCACTGAAACTTTCTCCATATCAGCAATAACGCTCTTTCAATTTCTTATCATTTGTGTGTTCATTGGAGTAGCACTTTTAATTTCCTTCAAGAATTTTTCCTTTGCATTCACAACTTGACTAACTGTTTAGCACAAGAGGCCTAGCTGTCAGCCTATCTTGGCTTTTGACATGCCTTCCTCACTAAGTTTAATTATTTCTAGCTTTTCATTTAAAGTGAGAGATGCACAATGCTTTGTTTCACTTGAACACTTAGAAGCCATTGCAGGGTTATTAATTGGCCTAATTATAATATTGTCATGTCTCAGGGAATAGGAACGAGATGGGGGAGTGGCCAGTTGGTGGAGCAGCCAGAACACACACAATATTTATCGATTAAGTTCACCGTCTTATATGGGTGTGATTTGTGGTGCCCCAAAACAATTATAATAGTAATATCAAAGATCACTGATCACAGATCACCATAACAGATACTGCAATAAAGTGAAGTGTAATAAATGAGGTATGCCTATAGTTGACTTTTATACCAGTTACAAACAAAATATCCTTATCTCTATCTTCCCAATCTATTTTCCAACAGACTCCTTACACCCTAGTGTTAGCATCTATTATCATCTTCCCTTGGTGAATAAGTGTATTATCGGTACTCATCATGTAAATTAACTGAAGAGAATCTTAAATATTTCTTCTGATTAGCTTTAGACATATCAATGAGTATTGGTAACTAAACATGAGTTGCATTCCCGTTATCTGTCTTGTTAATATTCCAAATACATTCCTTGGGGCCAGCATCTGTGTTTTAGACCTTTGTATTCCCTACTGTGTCTAAAGGGCAATATTGGACAAAGAACAAGCAAACCGTAAATACTATGAAAAAAGATTAAAATGTCCTAATAGAGGTACAAATAATACATGGTATGAGTCAGAAGAGGGAGTACTAAACTGGCCATCCAAGTAGCTCTAAACAATACCTTCTTGTATACCAGAGTCTAAAATCTTGTTTTTCTAATACTTCTTGAGCTTTTTATGATTCATATATAATTGTGTATTTTCCTGTGTACCTCTTACAATAAGATGAAGATTAGTTAATACCTATCAAAATCTGAAAAGTAAAAGTAAGTGAAGCACTTACTAATGAAGATCATACAGCCTTCAGTATGGATTACACCTCAACATAAAGAAAACAAAAATCCTCACAACTGGACCAATAAGCAACATCATGATAAATGGGGAAAAGATTGAAGTTGTCAAGGACTTCATTTTACTTAGATCCGCAATCAATACCCATGGAAGCAGCAGTCAAGAAATCAAATAACGTGGGCTCGGACAGACATCGCTTTTGCAGCATGCTTGCCTGTTTTCCCATTCTTGCCTATTCTGTAATATTTCTTGGACTCGGGCAGACGTGGCTCTAGCTGCATGCTTGTCCGTTTTCCCACTTTTGTCTACTCTGTAACATCCCTCCAACTCAGGTAGACATCGCTCTGGCAGCATGGTTGTCCGTTTTCCCACTTTTGCCTATTCTGTAATATTTCCAAGGACTCAGAAAGACACGGCTCTGGCAGCATGCTTGTCCATTTCCCACTTTTGCCTCTTTGAATATATGCTGAATAAAACCTTTCTTTTTGCTTTAAAAAAAAAAAAGAAAGAAAGAAATCAAACTATGTATTGCATTGGGCAAATCTTCTGCAAAAGATGTCTTTGATGTGTTCAAAAGTAAAGATGTCACCTTGAAGACTAAGTAAGGTGCGCCTGACCCAAGCCATGGTGTTTTCAATCGCCTCATATGCATGTGCAAGCTGGACAATGAATAATGAAGAACGA